CCATCTTGTGGTGAACCCTCTGTATTCACTCTGGTGAAGTCTTCTCTTGATTGTTGACTTTGACACACATACACCTACCTCCTGGAGAGTATTCTTGATCTGGCCAACTGTTGTGAACGGTGTTTTCTTCACCAGGGAAAGAATTCTTCAGTCATCCACCACAGTTGTTTTCCGTGGTCCTCCGGGTCTTTTGGTGTTGCTGTGCTCACCGGTGCGTTCCTTCTTTTTAAGAATGTTCCAAACAGTTGCTTTGGCCAGGCCTAATGTTTTTGCTCTCTCTCTGATGGGTTTGTTTTGTTTTTTCAGCCTAATGATGGCTTGCTTCACTGATAGTGACAGCTCCTTGGATCTCATCTTGAGAGTTGACAGCAACAGATTCCAAATGCAAATAGCACACTTGAAATGAACTCTGGACTGCTTTTATCTGCTAATTGTAATTGGGATAATGAGGGAATAACACACACCTGGCCATGGAACAGCTGGGAAGCCAATTGTCCCGTTATTTTTGGTCCCTTAACAAGTGGGAGGCACATATGCAAACTGTTGCAATTCCTACACCATTCACCTGATTTGGATATAAATACCCTCAAATTAAAGCTGACAGTCTGCAGTTAAAGCACATCTTGTTTGTTTCATTTCAAATCCACTGTGGTGGTGTATAGAGCCAAAAATGTTAGAATTGTGTCAATGTCCCAATATTTATGGACCTGACTGTAAATCAAGTTGCCTGCACATGGATACACCTGCACATCCTGGGCAAACATGCCCTTTTGTACAGATTTATGCTTCAAAAAGGAGGTTCAGTCTCCATAAAAAAAAAAAAAAAAAAAAAAAATTTAAAAGTCAGCAGCTACAACTTCCGCTTGGATTGCCTAGGCAATCTGAGTGAAAATGGAAGTGGAAGTGGGAGCAGGTACCCGAAACTAGGTACCCGCTCCCCCTCTCCAAAATTACAGGGCAAGTTAGACAGAGGCTGAAGGGGGGGGGGGGGGGGATATCTTAAACCAGAAATTCCCCTTTTGGGTGGAGCTCTGCTTTAAGTACGCCTGTGTGAACAGGGCCTTAAATAGGCAAAGCATGTTTGCTTTTCTGGTGCAACAGTAATAAAAAAAAAACCCCATAAAAATAATAAAATAAAAGCAGTGGCCATAAACCAGGGGTCCTCAAACTACGGCTCGCTAAAGACATTTAATCAGCCTGCCAGGCCAGCCAGGGGGTAAAAAAAAAAAAAAAAAAAAAAAAAAAAAAAACAAACTTGGTGCCGGCCAGCAAATGGCTAGGCTACGAGGACCCAGCGAGCTGCAGCCTGCAAGCCCCAGATTTCACTTGCTACAGCCAGAGGAGCAGCAGAACTGGAAAGGAGGAGAGCACACCAGGCACAGCGCATCACGCATTTTGTTGTCCAGTGCGTTGCAGTGTCCAGTGCGTTTTAAATATTGTATTTTTTGCCCTGTTTCTTTGCACTACAAATAAGATGTGTGGCGTTCATAGGAATTTGTTCATATTTTTTTCAATCTATAGTCTGGCCCCCCAACAGTGTGAAGGTCTGTGAACTGCCCCCCTGTTTAATAAGTTTGAGGACACCTGCCATAAAACAAGCCAAAAAAAAGCTTTCAAAGAATAAAAAAAAGCTTCTAGGAGAAAAAAAAAAAAAAAAAAACAAAAAAAAAAAAAAAACACGTGTCATACATTCCAGTCTCCAGAAACAAAAAATGTAGCAGTTAATGCAAGTACACAAGAGATGGAAAAGGTGTTTATGAATATTATGTGGCATGCAAAGTGCAAAGGACATTAATAAATACAAGTACACAATAAAGAGCCATTTGCTTTAGTGCATATATAATGAACTCAAACCACTGCAATAAATTTTGTTCCCCCATTTAAAAAAAAGGGATGCCCAAGTCACTGATTTCATAGTATACTTAAGCAGATCATACTGTAAAGGTTAACATAACTGCTTTATATATTCAAGAATCCAAACAGTCTCTAATGATGCTCATAAGCAGAAAGCATAGGGGCTGGCTGCATCCAGACAAGGAGCTATGAATGCAAACCTGTCACGTGATCATTATCGAAGCTGTGACGTTAAATTCAGCTCTGTCAGAAGACAGCATAAGTCAAAGCCCACATATAAACCACTGCCTCCTAGAGAGGCAGTAGCAGCCTGGGAAGCTGTCTTGCTTCTCTAAAACCACAGCCCTCCCCCTGAAAGAAGCTCCGTCTTCTTCTCAAGCTGCCTAGCAACAACAAAAGAGGTAAATCCTCTCTACTATTTTAATTCAACGCGGCTACTATGTTCTTATGGTGTTTTCTCCAACGTTACAAAGATCTGCCAGGGCTGGCATGGATACAGATGGATGAAAGCTGCATTAGGGACAAAAGGCGAGATCTGTGAAAGATTTCAATACAGCAGGAGCGACTGGGAAGCCATCTGGGTGTGCACAGAGGAAAATGCTGGAGAAATTTTCATTCCCTAGCTAGAGGAATAAGCACAATGCCCCTGACTGGAGCAGGCGAAAGGGCAAGCTGCATGCAGACGGACAGCAGGCACAAGCATTCACAGAAGAGAGATTATTGAAGTGCGCATGTTTCTGCTCAATTCGTTTGACCAAGCGATGACATGCCAAAACTATCCATCTTTCAATAGGTATATTCCTACAACAATGAATTTGTTCAGTAAGATCCAGGTATGTTACACTGATATTTGGGAGGATTCCATTTAAGGTTTTCTGTGGTGTGTTTTTTGGGTGGGTAGAAGTGGCTTATTAACCATAATAATTCCTTGTGTGTTAAGCACAGCTGTTTATGGAATGAAATTAATGTGACAGCTACCAAAATATAATATGGGAATCTGGTAGGGGAGGAAAATCTGCAATATGAGATGAAATAAATCCCTTTCAAAGTAGGTCATATTTAATCCTTATCTGAAGTAATCTCCTGTCTGATGAACCTAGCATGCTGTTGAGATCAGTGCATCATTAAATTAGATGCCAAAATGAAAGAAGAAGAACTGAAAAACATTTTCATCTTAGAAACTAAAATTATTGTTCTGACTAATACAATTAGCAGTGACAGCATTGCTGATGACACTTCTGAGGATGAAAAAAAAATCCAGCTTTCTTTGCATGTAAAACACTGCAGGAACTGCACTCATTCCTAATGTTTTCAAGGCACTATAAATCATGTAAGTGTGGCCAATATAAAATGTGCTTACTCTGCCCTGGGCACTGCAAGCTGGTAATGAAAATGGTTTTACGGTACAAAACTCAGAGGCTGGGGAGGGATATTTTGGAATACAGGTTAAGCTGGAAAGGAAAAAAAAAAATAAAACATTCTGATGCAGATCTATATAACTTGCATGGCAACCATGAATAAGTATTTCCAGACTTGTAGATAGTTAAAAGGAACCCATTTATTCTGCACGGCCTATTTCATCCTAGAGGATGGAGCAACAGACAAATGCTTAGCTGATTCAACTAACATTCAAGCAATACAAAAATATAAATTCAGTTTTACGATTCCTGAGAACAACACATGCAAGACTTGTATTTTCTCAATAAGAGTAAATAAAAAAAATAGCAGGAAAGGTAAATTAAAAATAAAAATTTAAAAAAAAAAAAAATCGTAAAAAAACTGTCATAGCTAAGATTCTTAAAAAAAAAAAAAAATTTAGATTTTGTTTCATTTATACAATGCCAAGATATTCCACAGGCAACTTCGAGTACAAACCAGTGCCTGCTCCCAAAGGAGCTCACAATCTAATATAAATGTAATATAAAACACACGTGTACCACTTTTGGGTATATGGTATATGAAATGAAAAGATTTTTTTTCCCAAAAAATCTTTCACAACAAATGGAAACATTTCAGATGGTGAAAACTATCCAAGTGGGTTATGACCTGAAAAGCTATCACATCTTTAATATCTGACTGTTCACCAGTTAGAAAGAGGCCCCATCCGTATCCAAAGAATACAGAATAGTATTACCACAGGTTTTCTGATAGGCGTTGAACTGTTAAATGCAGTTTATCAAATCTTTCTTGCGGTTTCAGATTAAAGAATATTCCAGGACAATGGAAAAGCTTTCTTTACTGCATTACCATAAATAAAGGTAGACCTTTGTAAGAGATTGGTGAAACACTAATAAGTGAACATGTTTAAAGTTGGATGTGTGTCACATACTAGTCCTGAAATGTGCTGGGTTCATTTTGGGGCACTCTTATTCGTTATAGCCATTACATTGGGAAATACATTTGTAATGGTTGAAGATGTTTACAGTGTGGACTTTTGTGTTTGGAGCAGTTACTTCCAGACAGTGGTTAACAGAACTCATTCTAAAAACAGATTGACCTGATGCAGAGATAGATGTAGGAAAAACATGCCACTCTAGCTCCATCTAGAGGAACTATCATAATGTGACACATTTACGGAACCGTCAAAAAACTTTTAAATCCTATTGATCTTTTCTTTTTTTAATACTATTTTTTAATGAATGAAAAATACAATTATTTCTTAGGCAACAAGCTAATTGTTTCAAATTAAAAATACCATTACCACCTGACTTGACAAAGTTACTAGCGATGAAAATACATTCTGACAATTGCATCTTTTCATTGACTTTTCAAACCTGTCGCTGTCCATGAGAAACAAGCTAAGCCGTGTACTGTAACTAATGTAATGTGGCTGCAAGTGACCCCTCTGAATCCTGTACATGACAATTTCCCAAAATTCTATGCCACCATTTTGGAGACTAAAGTTGTGTAGGCAAACCTGGGAGTCACAAAAAGTTTTTCTTAAATGAACCTTATAAAACCGATGACTTAACTTTTATGGATCTTCACAATCTATTTCTTTCTTTCTACAGATCTTATAGGAAATGGTTCACCAAAGGAAAATGAAGAAAGCAACTGAGATCTAGAGACTGCCCTTTTACTGGGTTGGGATTGATAAACTGGAAATTAGTGCAGATGCAGTATAACTGCACTGGGATTTCAAAAGCATGCTTCAGTGGAGGAGACGTCATTGCTGTCTTGGCAAAATGACCTGGAATAGTAAAAGGTCACTTTTTCGCACCCATCTCACGGGGCTTTTATCACTGGTGTTTCTGTTCGCCACATTGCTTTTCTGTAACCATCACAATTCATTCACTGGCAGAGTTGGACTAAAAGAAAATCCGGTCACGCATTCGATTCGTGGATTCAAAGCAACCAAAACTGAAACCAACAGCTCACTACGGAATATCTGGAAGGATGCCATTCCACAAACATGGAAGCCTCATACTACCTTTAACCTGAGTAACACAGAGTCACAACAACAAGGTGTTACTGGTCTGGAGAATACTTTAAGCACCAATGGGAGTGTTTACAGTGAAAAGGGCTGGGGTCAACAAAAAGTGTACCATTACAAATATATCATTAATGAGCCAGAGAAATGTCAGGAGAAAAAGCCTTTCTTAATACTTCTCATAGCTGCAGAACCAAGACAAATTGAAGCTCGACAGGCTATTAGGCAGACATGGGGAAATGAAAGTCTTGCACCAGGAATCCAGATTGTAAGGCTGTTTCTTCTGGGTTTACACACCAAGTTAAATGGGTTAATTGAACAGGCCATAGTGGATGAAAGTAGGCAGTATCATGATATCATCCAGCAGGAATACTTAGACACATATTACAATCTCACCATTAAAACACTTATGGGTATGAACTGGGTAGCAACATACTGCCCCCATGTCCCATACGTCATGAAGACAGACAGTGACATGTTTGTTAATACAGAATACTTGATAAACAAACTGCTGAAGCCAGACCAACCACCAAGAACCAACTATTTTACAGGGTATTTAATGAGAGGCTACGCACCCAACCGTAACAAAGACAGCAAGTGGTACATGTCACCAGACTTGTATCCAAGTGAGCGTTATCCTGTGTTTTGTTCTGGAACTGGTTATGTTTTCTCTGGAGATCTAGCAGAAAAAATATTTAAGGTCTCCTTAAGTATTAGACGATTACATTTAGAGGATGTGTATGTTGGTATCTGTCTAGCCAAGCTGCGTATTGACCCTATACCCCCACCAAATGAATTTGTATTCAACCACTGGAGAGTTTCATATTCTAGCTGTAAATATAGCCACCTAATTACCTCTCATCAGTTCCAGCCTGGTGAATTGATCAAATACTGGAATCATTTACAACAGAATAAGCACAATGCCTGTGCCAACGCAGCCAAGGAAAAAGCCAGTAGGTATCGGCACCGTAAAATGCACTAAAAGGACAAACGATGACTAGGGAAACAAATTGGAGATTGGAAATATGAACGCATGTGCAGTGACAACCTTAACTAAGATTTAAATGGAGTGAAAAATTATTTTTTTTATTTTTAAGAGTATATAAACCTATATGGGAAAACAGATGAAAAGAAAACTGTGGGAAAAATGTGTGTGTTTATTCTGTGCAATAAGAAGCATGCACACTTCTGTGGTATACCTGATATTTTACGTGCCAATAAAATACAAATGAACACATTTTTCATACAAATACAAAGCAATATTTGTGGTTCTTTTTAAAATTGTTATATTCTACATGACTTTTACTATGAGGCAAAATGGCACTAATGGTATTAAACTTGAGAGAGATGTTGCTGTATTTCATAAAAACTAAATTCTATGAGCATTTGTAGGGGAAATCTAGGTACATGAGCATTTGTCACCTTCTTTACAAAACTGGATCTCCAAAGACCAGATCATGACTAGAAAACAAGGCTTCATTTCAAGCATTATCACCACATGCTACTGTGTGGAGCACTATTTGAATCATCACAGGAAACGTGACATTATGAAGAGCTCAAAGTCTTCCTTTGTGATTCTGGAACATAATTCAAAAGTAAATAACAAAAATATAGGTGTTCACACATATTTGATTAACATATCTTTTCACCTGGTACAACCAGCAATAGAGTTAGCATTGTCCAAGTCCAACACTGCTCCAGTAATATTTTAACCCAATAGTTAAAGGAAAAAAAAAATACAAACCCTCTTCTCTACAGAACTAGCAGTGTGGAACCCAAGACTTGCAGGTTGGAGGGCCACTGAAGCCCTTATCAGTTAAATCACACTGTATGTGTTTAGCAATTAAAAAAGGAACGTGTTTTTATTCTTCCACATCATGTTTCAGTTCCTTTCTTAGGCTGATTTCACAGTGAATGTGTTTTTCTTCAGCTTTTGCGTTAAAAAAAAAGCGTAAGAAAGAACATGTGTTCCTAGAACACTTCACACTGATCTATTGTGGGTCCGGTGAGTTTTTTAAAATCCTGTTTGCTGTATTTTTGGTACAGTACAAAAACCGCACCAAAAATGCACCGCCCCATTGAAATGCACTGCATTGCATTTTTGGTGCGTATTTTGAATCGCGTGTCCTGTAAAAATGCACTGCAAACTGTTTTGTTTCAATTTAGGTTGCCTTGATCAGTGTGAAAGTAGCCTTTCTGAAGTGTTCATCCCAGGTCAGGTTTAAAGGGAACATCTAAAGTGGCTTAAATTAATCAAGTAATTTGGGGAGTTCTGGGATCACACTGTCATAACAAATAACTTCAATTACCCATGAACTATTAACCTCTTACTTTGATTTAAGGTGGAGCTGTAGACAACACAACTATACAGTAGGCCCAATTTGACTGCAAAGTATATTACCAGTATTTTCCAAGGATTTGTATGTGAAATCACTTCAAGTTTTCGACTACTGATAAGCCTAAACAAGGCATTTGGGGAATATCTATGGTCACTGTGTGGAGCAACTCCTATGAAGCAGAACAGTGAAACCACCTGAATGTTCTCATTGGGACCCTTATTTTTTTAATATATTTGTAAACTATATAGGGTCTGGGACAAAAAAAAAAAAAAACATTTCAGTCTTTGCAGATGACACCAAGCTGTGCAGTGGAATTAACGTCCTAACAGGAGGTCTCCAGCTTACAAGCCGACCTCAAAGTACGGTTTAATTGGGCAACTATGTGGAAATGAGGTTTAATGTTGATAAATGTAAGGTTATGCACTTGGGGGCTAAGAATATGCATGCATCATACAGACTAGGGGGGGTAAAACTGGGGGAATCAATGGTGAAGGATCTGGGAGTTCTGGTAGATCACAAGCTTAATAATGGCATGCAATGCCAAGCTGCGGTTTCTAAAGTGAGCAAAATCCTCTCTTGTATTAAAAGAGGTATAGACTCCATAGAGAGAGATATCATATTACCCCTGTACAAATCATTAGTTATACCTCATCTGGAATATGCAGTTCAATTTTGGGCACCAATTCACAAAAAGAACATTGGGGAACTGGAGAAACATGGGGGATACGATCAACATGTATAAATACATCAGTGGTTCATATAGTGAACTCGGTGTAGCATTATTCACCCTGAGGTCATCACAGATAACAAGGGGGCACACTATGTCTGGAGGAAAAGAAATGTAATCTCCAAATACAGAAAGGTTTCTTCACAGTAAGAGCTGTGAAAATGTGGAATAGACTCCCTCGAGTTGGTTCTGGCCAGCTCAGTGGATTGCTTTACAAAAAGGCTTGGCTTCTTTCTTGGCTATATAGCATATAACTGGTTACTAACATTTATAGGTAAATCCAGGGAATATCCAATTGCCTCTCGGGGGATCAGGAAGGAATTTTTTCCCCTACAGGAGCAACTGGATGATGCTTTGCTGGGTTTTCTGCCTTCCTCTGGATCAACTGTGGGTATAGGACTATAACTTTTTTTTTTTTTTTTTTTTGGTTGAACTGGATGGACTTTTGTTTTTTTTCAGCCAGACTACGTAACCATCTCTGGTTGTGTCTTTGTTGCTCCTCCATCCAGAGTGGAGACAAAGTACATTACTGGCTGGATAGCTGGGTGAAAATAAAGAGGAACAATTAGAATGCCGCAGTACAGGATTGTTTTTGGTTTTGTTTTTTTGGTGGGGAGGGTTGTGGGTTGGGGTGGGGGCGGATTTATTCTGCTTTAACTGGCTATACAGCTAAACATACACACTGAACCTTTAACTTGGGTAAAGGTAAAAGTATACATTTTTAAAATATGAGGTGTATTATCTGGCAAATATTTTAATAAGGGCATTTATTAGCTGGTTTAAAAAAAAAAAAAAAAAACTTGAGCTGGTGAGAGAATTATGCAGGTGAAAGAGCAAGTGGTAGTTATAATTAATCCCTACCCCACTCCTGCAGCCATCCCTCCCTTTGAGCTACCAAGTTGGGTTCTGAGATCACATATAATCAGGGGGTCACACTTTGCCGAGCAGTATTGACAAGACAGTATGGCTTCAAATTTATTTGAAAATGAATGCAACAACAACCTCTGTTCTTAATCTGAAAGGCTAAAAAAAAAGTAGAATTAGTCTTCTGTGCTGCCTAGCTGGATAGAGTAATGGGTAATTTCAGTGTTCTGGTATCAGCATGCCAGCCAATGAGGATATTAGCTTTATATGTCTGCACAATCATAACGTGAAAAAACTTGCTGTAACTACTGAAAAAAGTGTTGGCTGGAGTTTGGCTTTAACTTGTTAGTTAAGTCCATGTATATCTGCTAGTGCATCTACCAATACCCTCTCCCCAAACTGACAATACTGCTGTCCAAAGGTGCGTCTGCTGTTCCTCTATCCAACGTAGACACACCCTAAAACAGGAAGTATATCACTGGCTGGATCATCAGGGGAAAATAAAGAGGGAAGGGGAGAAAAAAAAACCCTGAAAACGAACTACCACTTGTTACCACATAACGACTGGTAAGCTTCAAAAGGAATACATTTCTATGTACTGGTTTTAGGCCTGGTCCAGAATAGTGTGATTTCCGACGCGTCTTGTGTTGCAGAGAATTGTGTGACAACGCATATCACCTTATTACTTATGGTGCCCATTCACATCAACGCAGCACAGCATAGAACATTTTTGGAAACGGTGCCAGTATTACTTCAGTGTGTGTGATGAATGATTTTGGCCCCAAAACTTATCAATAGAAACGCTCCAAAAACATATGTAAGATGCATTTTGGTGTGTTTTTGGCATCATTGTGTGTTGGTTGTTAGGAGCCGATAACTTCCAACATCCTAACAAGCAGTGACTCATCCCACTGACAGCAGACTGTAAGCAAAGGACCACATTATTAAAATAAACAAACAAGAAAAAAAAGCCATGCTGTGAATACAAAGAAAACAAAAACAATCTAATTCTATCATAACCACTCTAAAGAACACACCTGATCCTGTAATGGTTTATTGCAATTTCTGCTGTTTGATATAGCAGCATATGCCTAGTTTTGTGTGTGTGTGTGTGTGTGTGTATGTATATGTATATGTATATATATATATATATATATATATGTATATATTATATATATATATATATATATATATATATATATTTTAAATCAAAGAAAGCGATTAAAAATAGGGCTTTCATTTGTTCTTTTTTTTTATACACTTAAAACTAATAGTTGTTCATTAAAACTGGTGGGAATAATGGACCAAAGTACAGTGTGTGGTACTCTTCCTATATAGGCAGAGCTCCCAAAGAGTGCAAGCAGCCATTATTTTCATTAGTACTTGAAAATCAATGCTGCAGGACATAAGTCCCTGGAATTCATAAAGACTGGCACAGACATATTTTGCATAAGTGTTTCTCATGCATGCTAAAATTGGCGCAGCATGTGCCAAATTCATGTACATGTCTAGAACTTGCGACAATTTCTCCCTCTGTACAACAAAAGAGTTGGTCTTAATTAGCTCCACTTTTGTAAGATACAAACTGCTGGTATTTTATTTTGAATATGGCAAATTGATGGTGCCACAATGTACAAGTGGCACGTTTTAAACTACCTAAATTTGGTACACAAGTTGCTGTCAGAACCAAAAGTGATGCAAATTGGTGTAATACATTAAAAAGAAGTATTAACACCAGAAAGGTGGCTCAGCAGCTTTATTGAATCTCCCCACAATGTGTGCAGACTAGGATACAGTGCAGTGTTATAATGTATTATAAAATACACAATTCAGGGATGCCACATGGAAGGAAAATAAAAATACTAAAAACATGAAAACAAAACAATTGTTAGAGATGCGATAGAAAAATAATTTAAAGGCATAAATGTGGATGGTGAATTACATATAGAAGGTTTACCGAGCATTCTGTTACAATGGTTACAGTTGTAGGCACATGTAAATTAGTATTCAAACGACTTGCTTTGACTTCTGCTTTTCAAAAGCTAGTGACTG